CCCGATATGCGTAAGCAGTACGAAGCTGAAAAACATATTTGGTTTCCTCTCACTGATACACCAGGAAATGAGGCCTATGATAAAAGAACGCCGGGGTTATTTAAAGCCGAGTGGATTGGCGACGGTATCGTTGGCCTTTGTAGTAAGACATATATCATTGTTTTGGGGGAGAAACAAAGCCGAAATTTAGCTGTAAAGGTGTTAATAGAAACAACAATGACATAGATGAAACTAAGTATTTAGATGTACTGCTGAATAGAAAGAGTGGAAATGGTGAGAATAGAGGCATAAGGTTGTTAAAAAATAGCATGTATTCCTATGTACAGCAAAAAGATGCATTCAGTTATTATTATTGTAAACGTAATGTTTTAGAAGACGGTGTGTCCACTGCACCTTTAGACGTTTAAGTGTACATTTTTTCACTTGACAAGGAAAAACTTATCTTTGGCTGTTCATTTAACAGAATTTTAAGGAAGAACATATTTCTGTTGCACATTATTCGAAGACAACCTTAAGACATTTGATTGTACATTATTCACCCCTCTCACTACCTTGACAAACTTATTTTGCCTAGCTGTAAATCCAATATAATGTGGTGCAGCAGAAGCGTGTTTGGAAAGCAAGACGTAAAAGGTTATTACATTACTCTACCTGTGTAAATACCTACCTTGAAAAGAACTGTATAATATAAAGTCAATTCAAATATTTAACAGTAGTTAACGCATTAGATGTGATGTTCAATGAAACAGAGACAGAGTTTGTCAATTACCACCGTGTGTATTGCAATGAAGAATACAAATAAACGTACATTTATCCATATGATCTGTGTTTTCTTGAATTTATGGTTTCAAAACATAATGAAAACTATAATGTTTAAACGCGACCATGTGTAGAAAAATATCTTAATACGCGTTTTCATCGGTGTAATTTCTGATTTTCTAAGATGAACAGAAAATAGTTGAACTTGTATCAGAAAAAAAATCTGCTGTTTCTTTATGATGCGTCATGATTATTACAATTTAATTATTTTTTTCTTCTTCTATATTTCAGGTAAATTTGGTCAGAAGACAAACATGGACAAAACAGAATACGTAGGCGATGTCGACGAGTATTTCGGGATTCTACTTGATAAGAAACTCGAAGTGAGCAACATTATGTTCTTAAACGATGACGTCGCCGAAATACGTTATCATCGAACAAATCCCGCCGAAATATCCTCCGATAACACGAACGTTGTGATTGCGGCTTACACCACCGCACACGCTAGGCTCAAATTATACGAATCTTTAGAATTTTTTGGTGAAAATATTTTGTATTTTGATACCGATAGTATCATTTTCATTGACGACGGCAGTGACGAAACCAAAAATTATCTAAATTCTATTATGGGCACACATTTAGGCGATTACACAGACGAGCTTGAAGACGGTGATTACATCACAACATACGTGTCTGGGGGTCCAAAAAATTATGCCTACCAGACTCTAATGGCAAAACTGNGTATTTTGATACTGATAGTATCATTTTCATTGACGACGGCAGTGACGAAACCAAAAATTATCTAAATTCTATTATGGGCACACATTTAGGCGATTACACAGACGAGCTTGAAGACGGTGATTACATCACAACGTACGTGTCTGGGGGTCCAAAAAATTATGCCTACCAGACTTTCAATGGCAAAACTATTTGCAAAGTGCGTGGTATCAGTCTTAACTATACCACATCACAAATAGTAAATTTTGAAACATTAAAGAAAATGATACACAAAGAAGGTCCAGAGAAAGTCACTGTGACCAATCACAATATTAGGCGTAACGTTGCTACAAAAGAACTCACTTCAAAATTAGAAGAAAAGACCTACAGAATGGTCTATACAAAGAGAGCAATAATGCCAGACGGAATTAACACATTACCATATGGTTATTAAGAAATTTTTAGATAATTTGTAGTATTATTGTACATATTGTGTGTGTGTGTGTGTGTTTATTTCAATAAAAATTATGTATACAATTCTATGTTGTTTTGCTTTACTTTATTTTGTATCTTTTAATAAATATGCATTAAAGAATTGAAATTAACATGATCAGACTTGCCCTGTGACGTCATAGCAAAACATAAACAAACGTCCCACATGTCCAGACGTGTCCAGCGACATCATCATTTTGTCACAACAAAATTCTGTTACCATGGCAATACAAATATAAACATATTTGTTTACTTGTTACGTCATGTCCCATTGTACGCTATAATTTTTCTTTGTCCTGTTACGTCATTAAAACAAAGGGTTTTACGTCATTTAACGTCATTTCCTTTGTTACGCCAAAGTGCCCTCTTACTACTGTAGACCTATTTTGTTGAGAACCAATTTTTGTGACCTACCATGCACCCCGAATTTGAAGTTAATGCGACCATGGATCAAATGTATATTTGAATGCAGTTTCAACAGAAAATTTCCGCGTAAGCACCCTCAAACCCAGGGTCATATATTTCCGTGATAATGACGATAATAAGTCACATGGTACAGGATGTCCAGCCTGGACGTTGCTGTGTCATGTGCCAGCCACGGTTATCTGTACAGTGTAGTAATACTCTGGCGCGGAAACAGAGAAGAGAGTAATGGCAACAGTTCTAGCTGGCATTGAATAGTAGTCAATAATAGAGGAGGAACCATTTGAAGGGCGCCCTTTGAATTTGTAGGTATTGCTTGTTTTCCTAAACGTAGTTCTTGCAATATTTGCCAATAAAGGCAACTTAAGAGTCTATGTCAGTATTAAGAAGACTTAATCACTCCAAGACTTAAGCTTCTCGCTAATTGTGCAATTTCAGATACGGTTTATAACGTTCCGGTTATTGCTTCTCATAGGCAGCACCATTTGAAAAACAATATGGAAAGTGAAAGTAAAAAGGCGCGTTTGGGCACTTGATAAAATATTTTTGTCAATAATCCAAAAATTTTAAATCAAAGTTTGAATGTCTGTTCGGGTTGAACGAAATCATAAAATGGCCTGAAACGCGTTTGGATAAATGTCCTGTATCGATGGAATAGGAGTTCGACAAAGGGATTTAAAGAGAGATACTACTTAAACTCAATCAAAATCAATTTAAGCAATCATTTAGCAACATTGTTTACTTTGATAGACGTTTAAAATATCAATTTATGATGCTATTCGTGACCAATCAAACAGTCACCCCATCAAACCGGTATCAGTAACGTACTAAGCGTAACAACATATTGATAAAGATATCACATTAATCTAAGCAACATTGTTGAAAGCACGTTAAACGGACACGCGCGGCGCTCGCGCTTGTGTGGCGAAGCCAGGCGGTTATCAGATAGTCGACAGTACCAACAAAATCTTATCTGACCATTGATTAAACACGATAAGCACGTAACTCTCATGTACTTGAACAAAGTCCATGCGATGTTTTGGTTATCGAACACGACTACCGCATATTCTTTAACACTTGTGACTTCAGAATGTATCGTCCATAAATTAATATAGTATTGTGGAAATGTAAGACGAATAACTTTCACAATAGAGGGGCGGATTTTTTTATAATAATATCATGTAATTATTTGCAACTTAAAAAGTTGGATTTTGCAATAAAAACAAATAGTGGTGAGATGCACAATCTTAAAATATGCTTGTAAGTGTTAAATTTATTTATTTATTTATTTATTACTAAAACCACCTTAAAAGATGAGTAAAAAAAAATGTGTAAAATAATACAATAAAAACAGTAATTAAAACGATTTTAAGAGCAGTCCCGCCAACACATATTCTTTTGAGAGTCTGTTCTGATAGCAATGTTTAGATAGTTCATCTCTTCTACAAGCAAGAGTGATAAGTTAAAATAATTCGAAACACATTAAAAGTTCATAAAAGCCTAAGTTCTTAAAATTTGATAAAGCCCATGGGATAAAAGTTTTGGATGATCGTACAGTCCTCAGTTTTGGCATAGTGTACTTATAACCCCGGCGCAAAGTGTAGGAACTTTCATTTATCTCTGATAGCAAATGATGGATTTTGTGTCCTTCGAAGTAGGTGTTATGCAATAATGTTTAGATAGTTCATCTCTTCTACAAGCAAGAGTGATAAGTTTACACGTTTCAAGTGCCCCATCAAAGGGCAGCTCTGGGAATATAATCTTACATGCTCTTATCTGGATGGATTCAATTTTATCAACTTTTTGTTGTGTGAGGCCGTCTTCTGGGTCTTCCGGAAGACGGTCAGATTTTCAAGATTACATTGACAGATATCTAATTTCTTCTGTCGGACGACGGTCAAAAATGAAGGATGGATCAATAAAGATAATTCGGAAGCCTGTCAGAAAATATATCTGGATCCACCCCTGAGTAGTAATGATGCCTGAGGTGGATAATTAGGGGGATGCTGACAATGCCCTTAAATCAACTGGTGAATTAATCACAACGATGTGCATTTATTTTACAGTGCGTGTCTGTGTGTGTGTGCATGTGTGTGTAAATGTGTGCGCATGTGTCAAAGAGAGAGAGAGAGAGAGAGAGAGAGAGAGGCTAGTCGTGCAAAGAGAGTCATACAGTCATTTACAATACCCATTGTCAAATTAAATAGAGCAGCGAAAAAACACATTCAGTTTATAATGAATTGGTTATTCAGGTTACCCACCGTTTCATCACCATGGCATTCCTGCGTGCCACGTGGCAGTTGCTGTGGTTACGATTTCAATACACACGGCGCCATAAGCTTAACACGTGCATCACTCTCTTGCTGTTTTGTGCAGCAATTGCCATTCCTATTGCTTACGAATTTACCATAGACATAGGATCGGAAGTCACCACCGTCCCCGATGAAACCTTCAGTCCACAAAAAGATTTCCAATATCCGGGGGTACCCGGGGCATTTTGTTTGGGTCTTGGAGTTGCGCCCGCAACAAGCCGCGGGAACCACACCCCGCAAGAGTTTCTTGGGTGGTTCAAGTACTATCTGGGCCAATCAACACTTGGTCAGTCGTTCATGGGTACGTAATATTGAAAGACAAAATAGTTGAATAGTGCATTAACTATGTTAGGCATATTTGATCACCAAATATGTTTGAGATGGAAGAGAAGGGTTATTACCAGTTCATTGTACTAAAGAACTTTTTAAAGAGGCAAATAACTGTGTAAAACATATTTAAGATTACTTTATCTTACAATGCGGAGAGAGAATTGTCGAGTTCGATGAGTAATGCCCAGTTTTCAACGAAATGTCACTAAGTAAAATTAAGGCGCTCAGCCTCAAAACAAACAAACAAAAATGCTTCAACTTAGTCTTACTTTTAATCATTTATCTTTAATCACTTTTATTTACCTCAGTGTATCGACTAGAAAACAGTAAGGCGTTGGAAGACTTGGTCGAGCAAAATCCAAAAACATTTGATATTGTGGGCGGGGTAGTCTTCAATGACGAAAGTTTTGACTATGGTATGCCAACCTCCAAGTTCGGATACACCATCCGCCTCCGTTCAGAACCGTCGTTACATCACACAAGAGAGTGGTTTACGAACGTCTTAAGAGCGTTCTATTTCGAAACTGGCCCGGGTAAGACGAATGTTTTTGTACTTTTGTGAGTCGGGATAAATTAGATAGATTTTTATTTGTATATCACATAACACTTGAAATACATAACAGAACAGGGAAGAGTATAATTAAAATCCATTAATACATGTCATCCTTTCAGTATCTCATTCGTAACATAGAATTAGTCAATGGCACGTTTCAGTACCATTATTATTATGATTTTTTTAAAAATCATCTTAAAATGTGCATACAAATTATTCATCTCCAGAATACGACAAAAACGGTTTTCTTGCCATCCAAGATTCTGTGGACAAATCTTACATCAAGATGATTTCGAAATCTCCTCTTCGCCCTTTTCCTACACGACTCAAGCGATTCCCAACGCTGGAGCACAAGACAAGTAGTTACTTTGAGACTGATCAACTGAGTTACTTTTCCGAGCCCCTTGCCGCCGTTGTGATTGTTGGCTGTATATCTTTAGTTTTGGAAGTTACCCGAGGAATATCATATGAAAAGGAAACGGGACTAAAAGTAAGTGTATACGATGGAAAGTGTACGAAAAATAACATTTGGTTACCTGTGTCTACAAAGGGTTCTGCCAACCTCCTAAAACAATTAAAATTATCGCCTTTCTATTTCACGGTTCTAGTCGGGAAGAACAAATTACAACTTGCATACAGCAATATATACATTTGTAAATATATTTGATACATTTAACATGTGGAGCTTAGTTTTAAAAGCAAGTAGCGTGCGAAAAGGATAAATAATGTGATGATCTATAATTAAGAAAAGAACAGCAACAAAGGTTTATACAGTGTAAGTAATGGTAGAGTGACTGGCTTCAAATTACGGTATTAAACAGCCAAATAAAGGCATCCACGTGGCTGTTAAGTTGATCCAATAGGATAGTGTGATAAAACAATTTTGGATAGATTGCATACAACGCCATCCACCTTTTTGATCACTTGGAATTATGTTGTTTTATATATAGGTTCTTTTGAAAACGTGTGGCGTGCCAGACAAGGCATATTGGCTCTCTTGGTTCTTGTACTGGAGCATACCATACGTCATCATGATGGTCGTGTTGTCAATACTATTTCTATCTGCTGGTTCGAGTGAAGATGGTGGCAGCCTGGCCACCATCATAAACCAATATGTTGTGTTTCTGTTCCTCTTGCTATACGCCATATCGACCATCTTATTGTGCTTTGTGTGCAGCTTAGTTAACTCTACAGGTAAGTGTTACTAGACATGCCATCCTATTTGAATAAAATATGTTATCATGGAGATGAAGTAAGAACATACAATATTTATTAGATAAAAGCATTTAAAATGATATCTGGATTTACTTCAGTTTTACTGCCCTATTCAACTTTATGATTTAGTTCTTTTGATAAAAGCTAAACTGTACTTATTAGGTGACCATTAGCTTTGATTTAGATATTTTAAAAAGAATCCATGATACTTATAATTTTTATATTTTTACAGTTGTAATACTCTGTAATAATTGTAATAATCTGTAATACATACGTAATACATAGGCCATTATAATTTTCATTCTTTAAAGTTGCCGCCATAGCGCTATTCATGGTGGTGTACCTTGTCCCCGCCTGTCTAAGCACACCGTTATTTTACGAATTCATGTCGAAATCACAAAAACTGGCAATGTGTTTACTGCCAAACTTTGCTCTCAAGATGGGCGCTTTGCAGATCCTCATCTACTGCCGCTCTCCACTGAACGGAGGTAAGAATAATCGTATATCAACAGTTAAGGTATTTTAACCTGCCCCCATCCGAGCAGGCCTTCACAATCCGTTGACGTATATATTATCTTTATTCTTTGGTTCACTTTTTGCAAATGAACACTTTCCGATGCGGATTCTGTTAGGTCCGGATTTGTAGTTTTCCACTGAATATGAAATGGACGTGACGAATGTTCCGTGCAAAAATACATATACTAGTACCCGTGGATCTCAAAGATTTCTCCCTTTATTAAAATGATTGTCCTGCCACATGTACCTACATACAGGGGAGGGGGGGGGAGGGTCCAGAAGTAAGTTGAGTACGTGGGTAAGTCAATGATATTTAATTTCTTTTCTTGTGAAATTACCAGACGTATATTCTAAATAACATGTTCATGGAGAAACTGCGCCCTGGGGTTTCTTAATTGGCGCAATTTATACACACTAAAATCAGGGCATTCAATAGCTCAGTACATTGGTCATATTTTTGAAAAATCGACATGTCATATTTTCCAGTGTTCATTTCACGCTTTTCAAATGATCGAGATGCATGTTCTGACATATTTTAATTTCTCTTTTTTTCTTTATATTACCTCCATGTAGGCCTACGCTGGGATAATATAATGCAGCACACGACATTTGGTGACAACTTTTCCATCGGGGAGGTCTTAATTGCCTTTGCCGCGGACATTATGCTATTCATGTTGATAACATGGTATTTCAGCAAGGTGTTTCCAGGTCCAGGGGGAGTTCCGAAACCGTGGCTGTTTCCTTTCGAGGTAATTTGTCTTGGTATTATCAATGTTAAAGTTATACAAGTAGCTCTCTTATTGGCAAACAAAATGGGTGAATTATTGGCGTTACGGTTAGATTTCCAGTGTTATTCTCTCAAGGGTTTTAGATAAGGTTAATTCAGGGTTTATAAAAAACGCTGTTGAAATTTCCAGATATATCTTTTGTGCTAACCATCATTGCTTTCTGTTAATCTTTTTAGAATTCTTCTTGGGCTGATCCTTCAATTTTGACAATATCCTGGAATATTGAATAAGTTTCTGTATTGTCGTCAATGTAACTCCATTCCAAAACAAAATTACAAAATTAAAAATTTTTAGTGGCTTATGCGGAATCGAAAGAAGCAGAAAGTTGGTCAAGCGCCATTTTCATCAATACAGCAGGAGGAGGGAAGTGCTACGGAGAGCTTTCAAACTGAACGCCTACCATGGATGTCGCTGTTAAGACTGACTAAGGTATCTTTTCTTTTTTCTACATTTTAGTTTTTCTCCTAAAGGGCAGTGGCATGTAACATTATGCCCAAACAAAATACTCTTTGAAACGTATAATGTAATGTAGTGTATTGAAAGAGGGTTCTTCCCTTTGTCAAATGGAGAAAAAATGCATCAATTTATCCCAAATATTCTCCGCAACAATCATGCATATTGCAACAATACTCATGAAAGTGCATGTTCTTTATTACTCCATCATAAGGTTTACGGAAAGCGAAATGTTGTCAACAATGTGACCCTGGACTTGTTTGAAGGCGAGACATTGGCTCTATTGGGTGGAAATGCTTCGGGGAAGTCGACACTTCTGCAGATGATTACAGGTAGGGTATTGAGGTCTTTTTTTTTTTTTTTTTTTTTTTT